AAAAATAACCCAAATTCTTAAAGTTAAGACAAAACAAACTAAAACTTAGTTAATACAAGGGAGTATCAAATCCATCAAATACTTATACTCGAAATCTTATTTTTTATTTTTATCTAATCTACTAAAAACAGTTTCATAGAAAGTCACATCATTTTTTGGCATCCACTTGAACATTGATTTTATTGCATCTACTTTGTGTTGTGCAAGTACCACTGCATAATCATTTTTCCTCAGTATTTCGGGAAATAATATATCGCCTCTTTCTGCAGTGACGTGGGATTGACGTCGGCCAATTCTTTGTCTTAAATTCAAAGATCTATATTCAGCCTCAGAAAAAGAGAGCCGATACCTTATCTCGTAGAACGATTTGTTAAATTCTAAGGCTACCACCTTTGAAAATGGGACAGACTTATAATTCATTTTAACCGAATAGTAATTAAAATCAAAAAAATCCTGTTCTCTCATTTGAAGAATGTTATAAGGTTTTTTAGAATTCACCTTTAAAAGGATCCGAATCAAAGAAATGGGAGATGAGTATTCAGATTTACGCAGAGTGCGCTCAATTGCGCTATGCACGGAATCGACTTCCTGGATGCATGAGTGCCCTGGTACGGAAAATTTCATTGTTATTTTCTTTAAGCTCGAACTGACTTGTAAAAGATGGGCAATAGCATAACTCATTAAGCTGTTCCGATTTTGTGGGACGCAGCTATCGCTCCACAAAATCAGCTCATCCAATAGAGGACAATCTTCTGTAACCCTTCTTAGAATTTTGTAGACAGCGCTTGCGATGTCATTACAAGCACGACTATGAACAGCTTCTGACCAAACTGCACAATAAACTTTTCGGTCAATTGAAAGATGTGCGGTCATGTTGTAAACATTAAGCTTAGACTTGTGAAAAAAATTCTTTACTCCTCCCTTTGGGCAAGTTAGAACATTTTCTAGGTCAAAATTCAGAATTGGTATGCCACTTTCTTTGTCTGCTTTCTTCTCTTCTCTCATAAGGTTCTTTTCTTTAATATGTCTCTCAAATTCATATCTCTTTTCATCACTAAGGTTATTTTCTTTTTTCTTTAAATCTACCTCGGCACAAAGATCACATAAATCTTTTACTGGCTTAATAAAAGAGTAATTGAACTCTGTACAGAAAATTTCACGGTATTTGTGAAATTTTACAGGGCTTAAACCCTTTTCTGCTACAAATTCTTCATATAGCTCATACATTTTCTTAATTGACAGTTCACCTTCTAGGTATTGCCTTTTTGTTTCTGCGCAACAATAATGGCTACGACAGGAAACATTTTGATATGCTCTTTCACTAAACTTACATATAGTCTCTTCTGGAATATACTTCTTCTTATGCTTTCCCTGTGTGCTTTTTTTGAGTGTGTGGGAATTCGTTGCATGGTTATGGACGGTATATATAGGTTTTTGGCTTATAGCCAGTGTTCCACAATAAAAGTCTTTACAGACCTGTAGTCTGTTGTTATTTAATATGAAAAAATATCCATAACTATTCATTTTTCGTGAGTTATCAGAGTTTTTTCCCTTTCTCCTTCTTTCAACCTTACACTTTATAGTCGTATTTAGGATAAACATTCTCTTCTCGTTTGCGTCTAACTTATAATAGCTTGAAAAAATATCTTTCCTATCATCTTCAGTTAGTTTTGTAGCACATTTAAAGTGGCATCTATTTAAACAACCTTTTTTGGTTACAATTTTTCTAGCTGGACGAAGTTTTTTTCTTGATGACACGTACTCCATTCCTCTATCATATTTTTCCTTTCGAATATTGTGTGCCCAGGATTTTGGGTCCCTAGTTCTTTTACGTGAAAGCTTCTTTTCGGTTTGGTGCTCTACTAAATCCTCAGACTCAATGGGGTGTTCTACAGGGCTTTCGACATGGCGACCCATGGGGCGCTCTACGGAAGGCTCCACGGATGCTTCCTTGGGATATTCGTCGGGATGTTCTAGGCAGTGTTCCAGGAAACATACCATAGTGTGTTCCACGGGATGTTCTGCGAGAAGTCCTAGAGAATGTTCCACGGGTTGTTTCATAGAGAGCTTTTCATGGTATGTTTATTGTGTTCTTCTCGAAATGTGCTCTTGTTCTCTTTGTCAGATGTGTTTCCAACTTTTCTAAAACAAAAAAAAGATAATCCATTTTTAAATGGCATGGTTTATAGTCGAGACACTACAACAGCACAAAGAGCTTACACTTTAAAGACTACGACACTATAAAATTAGGCCCATGTTAAAATACCACACGGTGTGGCTCTTTAGTAATAAATTTAAAGTACCACATGTGGTTAGGGGGTTAGGCTATCAAACAATGGCTGTGGCATGCCCTACTGGCACACTGCAGTGAACCTAATCAAACATCAAATACCACAGCGCAATTCAAGTGCAGGAACTCGACATCAATCATTTGAGCCGTTGTTGAAACGAAACGTTTGAAAATCATATGCAGCCACTATATATGTGACACTTTAAATTTATTACTAAAAAGCCACATCGTGTTCAACTAAGACCATAAAATAAGCAAGAATTTGTACATACGTCGTGAATATTTTTCGTGTGCCAATACCCTTATTATTAGAAGCTGAGTCTGAGTCTGCTGTTCCTGGTTGGCATGGTATATAAATTTTCTTGCCCCGTATTGTAATGCTGAAAAATATTCGAATACAAAAATTTCATAGAATTGTAGATAAGATTTATACCTTACACTTACCTAATATGTTTTCTGGATTCCTTTTTATGTGGTTTATATTCTGCATCTTTGTCAGAGTCATAATCATCAAAAGTATCGGATCCCTCACTATTAGTTTCCATTTTTAACAATAACATTGATTGCCCCAAATACAAAACTTTCAGGATTTCATGTCTTTACATCTGTTGCATAAGAAATAACGCTGCTGTGTGCCAATAACAGGAACAGGTTGTTCATTACTTAATAATAATAATACATAATCTTTATTTCAAAATAACAGTGCCCAATTACAATGTAATGTCCGCTGTCAGGTGAAATATATGTCACATAATGCCATAATAGCAAACAAATGCAAGAAACAAAAATAGTGTCTAAATATTACAATATTACACAATGTTTGTTTCACATTTCTAGATATTCGTCAAGCCCATATGGCTCTAGATTCATTAGTAACTGGTGAATACATTTCTTTAACTTTCTGGGGTAACTTATTGTAAAGCTTTGCACAACTGTAATGTACGTTTTTTTCGGTAACAGTTAGATGATGAATTGGGTACACAAGAGTTATATCTCCGTTCCTTGTATTGCAATGGCCTGGGATTCTTATAAAGTACCCAATATTTTTAAAGGTAAAAATCAATATTTCCTGAATATATATTGCCACTATGGTGAGTATTTTATTCCCTTTAAATTTTCCTCTACATGTTTCTCTACGCGGAAGTTTTAACATACATCTCAATGCTCGCTTCTGTACCCGAAAGAGCCTGTTTATCTGGCTACTGTGTCCGTAAAAACTTATACCAAAATGAGCAATGGACTCAAAGTTGACATGGTAAACAATTTTTAGGGTCTTAAGCTACTTACTTAATATCCTACTTACATTCAATTCAGACAAAATGGTTAGCATGGATTGTTTTATATTGGAATGTCAACGCTTGTCATTATGGTACCTACGAATTATGGTTTTCCTTATTAATTCCTGGCCCAACTTCAACAAAAAATTCTTTTTCTGTCCAAACGATTTTTTCAAATTTGGAGTTTGCAACACCCATAGCTTATGGGCGTCTTTCTTTGACTCATGATTTCCTTTGCCAATTTATCTGTTGTATGCACTGCACCCTTCGTTTTGTTATAGTGTAAAATGTTACATACCAAGCATAGTCCAGCTGAACCCCAAGGTACAAAACTCACTATAACGTGTTACAATAACTAGCAATTGCTTGAAACTTATTTATGCTAAATTAGAAATTTATTTAAGAAATATTTCTCATATGAAATTGAGTTAAAATAAGTATTTTAGAAAATACCCCCAAAAATTGATGTCTGGGTTGCAACTGCACACTGCTCGAGTTCATGACTGTTAACTGATGTTGTTGGGTAAAAAACAGAAACTTTAACGCAGGTCTTACTGATTGTTTGGCAGTTATGTTGGTACTGCACCAAGGCTTATGCTATCCCACTGCCATGGAACAGCACCTACATCTGAGACCAGATACTGCATGAGTGCCTTTCTCAATGCAGTGCTGGCTCTCGCTGCGTTATTTCGCGCCTGCCGCCCAACAGATGGCATTGCAAAGGACTCCTGCCGCCACGCTCCCGCCTGCACCTGTCCCCCCACCTCGTAGTCCACAAAACCAGTGGGGCAGTATCGCCGTTCTTTGGCTGGAATCTCTGCCTCACTGGCTTGCAAATAATTGTGGAGTACTATTGTTGCCTTCACAATTTCTTCACAAGTATCGATGTCGGCAATAATAGTACTTCTCAAGATCCTCCAGCGCTGCGCAAGGATTCCAAATGCATTTTCAATTACCCTTCTAGCTCTGCTCAAGCGGTAATTGAAAATGGTTTCAGCCTCAGGCAGCGCTTGTCCTGCAACTGGACGCATAATATGGCTTGACAGTGGAAATGCCTGATCTGCTACAAAAAAATGTGGCATTACCACTGTCGAGCCAGGCAATACCTTTGGACCAGGTGTGTCCAACCGATTCTCTAATATTTTCCTGCCAAAAGTACTATATTTAACCTCTTAACCGTGTTGCCAGAATTCGGATGTGGTTGTATGTATCGTGTCATAAAAATTTTAAATGCGAGAATATTCGCATTACCCGGTAAGATAAAAAGATGCGCATATATTCGTCGTTCCCGTAATGTGATATCCTTACAGATAGAAAGTATGCGTATATACTCGTTTCACTCGATAGGGAGAGCGTATGAATAAGAAATGCAAGCATGTATCCAATAATTCCAATTACTTTATTGAAAATTATTGACAAAAAAGCTCACTAAACTACGAATGATATAAACCAAAACATGGTGCAGCACACAGTCCAGTTTTACATGATTCGCACCAATATATAATCTCTTTCCTCTTGCCTTTCTCTCTACACACTACACACCTTTTGGTCGGTTTCTTTTTATGTGCCGTGGATGGTATTACAGATGGAAAATGTTTCTCCATCAGCCGACTTGCATTTTTTGTTTTTGATCGTCTACCTGCATTACAATTCTTATCTCTTCCATATTTTTCTATCAGTTTTTCAGCTAAATCTATTACAAAGTTCAGACGTGACTTCCTACCACCAAGTTTTTTGTAAAGGATGTAACTGTTTAATACAGTTATATCTAAGAAATGAAGAAATATTTTTCTGTAATATTTTTTGAGGTGTGTACGTGACATTGCATAAAAATGGAGCATATTGTCTGTCAAATCTACTCCACCCATTTTGTTATTATAATGCTCTATAACTACTGGCTTTTTCATTACCTTCCCTCTTTTTGTTTTCTCTACAAACTGATTGTCATGTAAAGTACTTATCATCACTATTTCTTTTTTATCTTTATACTTCAGCAACATAATTTTCTTCCTAAATAAGGCATATGCTTCTCCGTGTTCCAACTTTTTCTCCTTCAGCTCTTTTGGTATACCTTTCCTATTCAACCTCATTGTGCCAACACAATCTGTGCGCCTCATCGATAACTTTTCTGCCAAGTCCACGCTAGTATAGTAGTTATCGAGAAACAGACAATAACCTTTATCTAAGATATTATTTGAGAGTTCTAATACCACTCTAGCTGATAAAGGTTCACTCGCGAAGCTGTCGCCATAGTTTGTATCAGCTCCGGTATATATCAAAAAGTTATAGGTGTAGCCTGTTGAGCTTTCAGCTAAAATAAATAGTTTTATCCCAAACCTTTTTCTTTTCGATGGGATGTATTGTTTCCACGTTAGGCGACCTTTCCAACCTAGTAGTGACTCGTCAATGGAAATGTTTTGTTCAGGAATGTAAACTTCCATAAACCTTTTTTGAAGGTGATCTAGGACAGGTTTAATTTTGAATAGCTTCCTCTGAGAAGTGTTTTCGTCAATTTCGTTATTATTAGAAAAATATAGGAACTTACATATAAGTGCAAACTTCCTCTCAGTCATCACCTTGGAAAAAAAAGGTGTTTCTATGCTTTCCCTTTTCGAAAAGTACATTTCGTATGATGGTTTTACGCAAACACTTTGTAATAACAACAATCCAAGAAAAGTTTTTATTTCATTAGCATCCGTTTGACTCCAGGCGCGAACTCTTGAACGAGGCCTGATATTTTCATAGTTCTTGATAATGAACTGATTGGCGTACCTAGAATAAGACAAATGTAGAATATTCATAATAAGTGTAGAGTAACACCATTTTACCTATTTGTTTCTTTTACTACAAGGTTTGTCAAATGGTGATCCATGAATAACTCAAATATCTCCAAAATATTATCCAAGCTAATATCAGGAACTTTTATACCAGGATCTGAAGTGAAGGGAAAGTTAGGGCGCGGTATACCTTCTTTGACCCAAGGTACCTCTACGTCGTCTGCAGCCTCTTCTGGGTATTTACTCTCTGATCCATCTGCCGAAGATAAATCGTCCCAGCTTGATAAATCATAGTTAGTATCAATAGAACTGATAGACAAAAGATCGCTGTTGTAATCGAATGAAGATTCACTCGCGTCAGACATTACAAAAGGGTAGCGCGCAAAACGCCTGTACTCCAGCCTATATCAGTCCTCAACTGAGCTCATTTAACAGAAAGCAGCAAGTTTTGTATACCATTCGAACGTGCGAAGAGTGGGGATTCCCATAGAACATAATAGCGACTATATTCGTATTATTCGTGAAATGCGGCGTTTAAAAAGGTGAGGCGAATATACTCGTACTACCCAACCAAGTTAGTTTATTACTTGGCGAATATATTCGTCATATTCGGTTAAGAGGTTAAACACTCCACTATCATGACTGGACCCTGGTGCCCCGATGTCTACCATGGTAAAGCGATAGGATGCATCGCATGTGGCCATCAACACCAGGCTGAACGATTTTTTATAATTAAAATAATCACTCCCGGAATGTTTTGGTGCCTGCACATGGACATGTTTACCGTCCAAAGCACCCAAACAATTTGGCATATGCCATTTTGCTGCAAACTCTTCCACAATCGTTTGCCATTGCTCCTGGTTTGGCTCTTGCAGCACTATAGGCTGCAAGTGTGTCCATATCACCTTGCAGGTATCCTTAATGATATAGTGGACTGTCGACTTTCCCACATAATAGTCCCAGGCCAGTTGCTGCATGGAACAGCCTTCAGCCAAATAGCTACAAATAAAAAACAAATAGTGCACATTACTAGCAATCTCACCAATAAAGTGTTATGGTACCTCACTACACATGCTATGATATTTGTTGAAAATAGATCTCTCCACATGAATTTCTGTAAACATACATTCATCATGAAATAACTGCCATAGACCCTCCCAAGTAACATTTCTGTATCTACTGGGTAACTTTTTAGGGAGGGCCCGGTCACTCTGATCTAACACATGGGATGAAACATGTTAAATAAAAGCACCTGTTACCAAAAGTATGCTCCTTATTTGGATCATATTTTTGACAATTCCTGGTAATTCATCACTACCTGGATACAAAAAATACGGTGTTTGGCTGAAATACCCACATCTCACTGCTGATTTGGATATGGCATTTCAAATATGAATGTTTTTTTGTAATTCTATTAATACATGAATTTGTACCCTTACAAAGATGTTGTTGAAGAGTATAATAGTTATATTACCATTTTACTTTCACACATCTATATAATGTATGCAACATACTTGCATATTTAAAATTATGTTTCAAGTGAATTCCTGGCAGGACTATGGTTACTTAACAATTGACAAATGAGTTTTTCTTTAAAGATAGACTAATAATAAGCTTGACCAATAAATTCAACCACCTGCAACTATAAAGCTTGACTTTCTCATGTCATTGCAACATTGAGACAGTATATGCCATCTATGTATGACTGTCCTATTGTATAAGAACTTGAATCAAATTCCAAGTAGAAACTGTTGATGATACTCCTACATTCAATGTAAATTACCAAATACACAGATCACCTTCCACATAAAAAACATATGACCATTGCCATGCATTATCAATTTTAGCCACCCTCACTATTTATTTCTCAACCCCTATTGACGCCGCTTCGCTCCGATATCCTGTGTTAACCTATCACCAAGCCCTCACCTCATCCTTCTTCTTCCCAATAGCAACATGCATCGATCATCAGGGTGAACAACACGATTATCGAACTTTGTACTATATCGAAGTCTTCTACCAGCTTCTACCCATTACCCAATTACAGCTGTAGCGATCAGCTGATCCATGCCACTGATACGATTGGTCTGTTCTTAAGGAAAAGTTCAATATATTGAACTTTAATTTAAGAAATGACCTTGAGAATTAAGAAAATGAACTTAACCTCAATATGTTGGATATTCGCTCTAGTCATTCCCCCAAACATGTACTGATTTGGATACTTACTGCAACGTCATCATTAGGCGCTCCTCTGGCGATATTGGATTGCGATCGGGTGCCTTCTGTAAATATCTCTTCAATAACGCGAGGAGGTTGTCATACAACTGCGGCGTCATACGCGTGTATTTGAAGAATTGCTCCTCGTCCTCCTCCCGCATGAACTTCACTAAGGTAAAATAATGGGAATATTTTCGTCTCCGCAGACGATTCAACGGTCGCACCGCATATCGCCTTGGTTGCGGCGTAGCTACTATCGAGGCCGACCACGTAAGCAATAGTGCTGCCATTCCCAGTGCGGCTGTTCGTTTATTTATTCTTCGCATCACCATGTTCAATTGATTGAAAAAAAATACGTCGCACACAGCACAACACACCGTAAAACGAACACCAACGAAAAACTATACTACAACGATCGTTGATATTCAATCAATAAATTCGTACCTTTCTGCGTATGCAAGCAAATACCGAACATAAAACACAAACAAAAAAAAATGATTCCCCTTGACCTGTGAATCGTCATGGAACACAGAACACAGGCGACACCACGGGACTATTATAATTACGTGAATATAAGCATAAAACCGTATAAAAAGGGCTATCCGATGGTAAGATGAGTCCGAAACCACCCGAATCATGTCAAAAAATGGATGTGTCGCCAAAACGTTTGACCACCACTGGAAGTCACTAGCTAGTTACTATCTGGAGGCGTAACATGTGGAGGACACTGGTGTAGAAACAGCTGATCCTTAAGTTCGCTTAGTTTAAGTCGTGCATGAACCCGACATAAGAAAATACAAAAATACACACGAAGTTACACTGCAGCAACACAAATAACACTGAAAACTTGTGCTGAAAACCCTAACTTATAAATACAAAATGAGAATAATTCAGAACTACAAGGGTGTATGTTATAACATGGTACCTTGTTATTCTTAAATATCGAAACAATTAACCAAAAGTGAGAATTAAGTGGGTGTATGTTCAACATAGAACTATGTAACTTAATTTTCGAATTTTTGAAACATACACCTTTGATTTTTCTATGATTCTGAGCTTAAGATTCGCTTGATTTCAGATTTAAAAGGTTCTGTGTATACCTTATTATACATAGAACCATGTTATCCCAAAATCTCAAATTTTATAGATTTGTTACATACACCTTTGTAATACTAGGGCAGCGAAATGTCATTGACTCACGTACTTCCAACCATGCAATTGCATACTTTGTTGCATATACGTCATGACTTTTCCGACAACCCAATATTTTGAGCATTTTACTGCTCATTCCATAGAAGTCCAGTGTGGGTGAGTTTTTTAATTGAACTATCGCACAATGCACATCAGATGGAAGTATCGCAGACATGAAGAATGAGTGAGGTGTCTTCGGGGTATGATTGAGAAAATACTTGTGATCAAAAATTGGTGTTCCAATACTCTCAAGAATTTTACTAGATATGGTGCTAAAATATCTATTAAACTCATCACTTGAAATACTAGTGTGTTTCTGTTTATTTTTTCCTTTCTCATTATCTACTATTTTCCAAATTGCTTTAATTCTGTTTTCCGCTTGATGTATCATGTTAAAGTAGACATTCTTTTTCTCCGATTTCAAAGTTTGACGGTACAATCTACGTAGTTCCCTATACCTTGTCCAATCATGTTCATTCTTAGTGTGTGAAAACTGCCTTTTTTGTTGACCATTTCTTTTCTTAACTGTCGTAGTCTACGCGTATACCACATGGCTCTATGTGCCGACATGTTAACAGTCTTTAGAGGGAAGCAACTTTCAATGCAATTTGATAATTTATGGTATATATACAGGGTCCGGCAGTGGAATGTGACGTTTTTCGATACACTGTATTTATTAGCAATTTTGTTGTAAAAATAAGTAAAAATTTGAAAAATAATACTCATTGAATGCAGTATTCAACAGTTTATTATTTTTTAAAAATTACAGATTTTAAATGTCCACCATTAAACTCTATACATTTTTCAATATTTTCTCGGACGGGGTTCATAACTGCGCCTCGAAGCCTTCCATCAATTCTTCTTATCTCCTCAGTTATGTTGTTCTTTAGCTCATCCAGTGTGCGGGGCTTGTTTACATACACTTTAGACTTTAAGTACGCCCATAAGAAACAATCTGGAGCCGTTAAGTCAGGAGAACGTGCTGGCCAGGCAAGGTCTCCATTTCGGGAAATTAATTTGCCAGGAAACCTATTCCTTAAAAACTGCATAACTATTCCAGCGGTATGACTAGTTGCCCCATCCTGTTGAAACCATATTTCGTGATCTTCAACTCTCAATCTTCGTAAATGGGCAGTAAGAAACGTTTGTAGCATTTGCAAATATCGCTCCGAGGTAACGGTTACAGTTCGATTATTCTCTTCAAAAAAATACGGTCCAATAATCCCGCAGGTTGCAATACCGCACCAAACCGTAATTTTTTCAGCATGTAAAGGTTTTTCATGCAACTGCATTGGTTGTTCTGCACACCAATATCGAAAGTTTTGTTTATTAACAAAACCCGATAAATGAAAATGAGCTTCATCAGACATAATTAAATTATCCATCAGATCTGGTCTTTCCCCTGCAAAATGCAAGTCTGTTAGGTGGATCTTGTGGGGATAATTGATGCACAATCTGTATTTTATAACGATGAAACTTAAGATCGTCGTGCAAAATACGGCGCACTGTACCATCTGATAGGTTTAGAGCCCTTGCATGTTTATTCGCTGAACGTGTTGGACTGGCTGTTACTGCTTCCTCAACTCTTCGAATATTTTCAGGCGTTCGCACAGTACGGGAAGAACCAGCAAACCTATCACAGACAGTTCCATGCGCATTCCACTTCTTAAACCATTGCAAAATAATGTTCCGCGATGGAATGCGACCACGTCTTGGGATATTAAACTCAGCCCGAAATCGTCTTTGGACCGTAATAACAGACTTTGTTTCAATGTAAGCCGTCACGGCGAACACGCGTTGATTAACACGTTTTAGTGCGGCCGCACACCAAAGCGATACGCCACATTCACGCAACATTTACTTCGCCATAATTTCTATGCCTCGTTGGTGGTTGGAACAATTGTGTCTTATTACCGCACACCGGACACACCATTTCTCGTGTAGCTTTGAAGTTAGTTAAAATGTCGACAACGTCATCGTCGGACGATGACGATTTTTTAATGTGGCAATTATCAAGAAGAAAAAGACGTTTTTGGGTTCATCCGTATAATGAAGATTGCACAATTCACGGAAATTTCATACTTTCACAACAGCTGAAATCTGACGAAGACAAATTCCAGTTATATCATCGAATGTCTCAAAATACATACCAATTATTATTGGATCTAGTTAAACCAAGTTTAACAAAACAAAATACCCACTACAGAGATTGTGTTCCTGCTGAAGAGCGCTTATTGATCACTATAAGGTAATTGTGCTAAAGAGGTGTTTGAAAAATGAAATACACTTCTCAAATACATCATATTTGGGGAGTGCCATTTTCTAAGAGTTGTATTATTTTTGTGTTTTTAAGTCGTCAATTTAGTTTATTTAGGTAAATAAAATAATTTTGAACAATGTCATGAATGAATGTAACAGTTGATTCTGCCAAACAAGCGATCGATTTGAATACCATCAGAAAGTAGCAAAATGAACCGTATACAGGTTTATGAAAATCAAACGTTCACGATTAGTAAGTTTGTTATTAGTAAAAATATAAAATTGTTTAAATTGACAAAATTAGTAGCAAGTTACGAGTTGGACATTTTACATGGATATATTCCAATTTTTTGTTAGTTTTGAAAGTAAAAAGGGATATCGTGTAGGGAGGTATGCTAAGAAAAGTCCGATTTAGTTGCCCTTATATTTTAATACTCATAATACTGAATAAGTTTGCGTCTGTAGATTATCGAGGGATTGTTGTCGATCTTCAAGTTCATCATCTGTGGAACCTTGAGTCACTGAGGCTGATAACTTTTGAGTAGGAGGATCATGTAGAAATCGTTCAGAAAAGTTAGTGTAGAATGATGCTACATTTGGCAAATCTGCAGAATGATGATGTCTGCTTGAAGGCTGTCCATATTTAATCTCTTCTATTATCTCCAGTACTTCTCTTTGAAATATTAACTGTTGGTGTTGGGACATTGATGCCATATGTGGAACTAGACTTAAAAGAAATAGCTCGCACGGTTCTTTTTTGTGTGCCTCGGATTCTTTTTTATCCTCTAGCCTCTTTTTTTCAATGTAAAATATTCAATGGCACATTTATCTGGTTCAGTCATTTGTTTCCTACGAATAGCGAAAGTCGATGATTGAATTGTTGGTCGTGACGCAGTTGAAGAGCCTGGATTTGATGCAGACGAACCAGCTATAGGTGACGGAACTTCATGTCTCAATAGATCTTCATCTACAGATGTGGCATCGGTTATCGTATTTAAAGATTGCTCTATATGAGGTTCAGGCTCAGAAAAATTGATAGATTTTTGTTCATTGTCGTGTATTACGTTCGTTATATTACCTTCTTGACGTCGATTTTTAGTAAATGGATTTAGAAACTGCAAATATGTTGACAAGTCGTAGCCTTTTTTAGATCCAGCACCAGAACCACTTTTCGATTTTGAAGTTAGAGTTCTTATGTAGGCAGAACGAATCGATTTCCATTTTAACTTACAGTCATCACCTATAAAGAAATAATATGTATGGTCATTTCAATTTCACATTCACATATTCAACAATAGAAATTAACAATAATATCTTAGTAATAACTAACACATTTTTTAGGTATTTGGCTACAGGATCTTCATTTCGAGCAATGTCTTACATATTTAAAAGAGGTGAAACAACTATTGGAAAAATAGTTCATGAAAGTTGTGAAGCCATATGGAAAGTCTTACAACCGATTTATATGAAAAAACCAAGCACAAATGATTGGCTAAGTATTTCACAAGAATTTCTTCAAAGGTGGAATTTACCTAACTGCATAGGCGCAATAGATGGGAAACATATTCGGATACAGAAACCTATGAACTCAGGATCATCGTACTTTAACTATAAAGAATATTTTTCCATTCATCTTATGGCATGTGCTGATGCAAATGGATCATTTACAACTGTCGACGTAGGGGATTATGGTCGGAATAATGATTCAGGAGTATTTAGAAATTCAGGCTTAGGCCAAGCACTATGTAATAAAACATTAAATATACCTGAGTCAGTGCCATTGCCAGGTGAAGAGCAATTCGGACAACCATTTCCCTATTATTTTGCCGCAGACGAAGGTTTTCCTCTATCAATCAATATAATGAGACCTTACAATGGTAGAGCTTTGAACAATAATCGTCGAATATTTAATTATCGGCTATCACGTGGACGAAAAATAGTCGAGTGCGCCTTCGGCATGCTTGTATCCAAATTTCGAGTATTTGAAACGCCAATCTCATGTTCCGTTCAGAAAGTTGATAAAATCGTTAAGGCTGCTTGTGTTTTACACAATTTCATAAAAAACCATGATAATATTATTTTAAATCCGACTGATGATGCAACAAACATTACCAATATCCCCATAATAATAAACCAAGGAAGACCAAATAACAATTCAACAGAATCTAGAGAATACCTATGTAATTATTTTCAGAAACCATACGGCTTGGTACCATGGCAAAATAAATATACAGTATAATATTTGTACAATAAAAAAATTAGTTAATACCTACTTGTTTCATTGAATTTTTCGCCGATTTTTGCCCATATGAGCTCTGTTGCTCTTCTATTGCTGTACTCAGAGAGTTTGTAATTATATAAGGGAGGATTTTTCTCCACCTCACTGATAAATTCGATATTAAAACCCACATTGTCTTTCATTATGGCAATTATGGCAAACATGTGGCTTGGCGTTGCACGCTACAAAGAACGAACCTGTTCGATCTTGAAAACTAGCGACGTATTTGTTGAATCGCCACAAAATGCGCTCGATACAAATGTGTCTCTGGTGTCCGTGTCTGTGTGCAGATATATGGAAGTGTTAAAAGTGTCGGACTTTAATGTGGCGCAAGAATTGTATTAATACAAATGTATGCCTGGTGTGCGGCCTGACTAACTGCCACGTGAATCAAGTGTGTCTCATAGGTTATAAATTCAGTGAGCCATGTGAATCATCCTTGATTCACGTGAAAACTATTAGGTTTATATCTGTAGCTCAGCGACGATTCACAGCGGCCGCATAATAACATGGTAGTTGAACAACCGTGGCCTCGCAAATAAAATGAGGTAGTTAGCCTACATAAAAGTTTGTTTATATATATAAGTATAGGAACGAATTAGCTACATAAAACAACAAGAACAACTATTTTGTACAAACATGAGATTCTGTGAAGCAAGTCACGCAGTAGTGTTTATCGCATTGAATGCACTTCCATCTAGTTTGTGCAGTGGTTTTGGCTGCCACGGTTCTTCCCTTTTCTTTTGATATTTTACAGTAGCATATGCAACATCTTCGCCTATTAGAAGTAAAATATGTTTTATTTGATTTGCTTGCGTATCTTCTTGCTCGTTCTGGTGTTCTTGTGAGAAATTTAGAAGGCATGAAGCAACTTCTTCTCTGAATGTTGTTATAGTCATTTTTTGTCCAGTTACTGCTTTGAACAGGATATATGCATTTACCATGGCTGATCCTAGAATCAATTCCACGGCAATTTTTCTATACCATTTTATCCCTTTTCTCAAAGCTGAGGAATATGATTTGATCTGATCCGATAAATCGATAAATGCTTTGCATGTATTATAGTCAGCAACAACGTCGGGCTTTTCTACTTCCGCATTACGTCGTGATCTCACTGTAACCATTTGGCCAGTATGTTTAGTAGATAAAGTAAGGACTTCCCTTTTGTCATGCCATTTTGTTATTACAACTCCCGTATTACTCTCTTGACTGTATGATTCACCCTTCTTCAGCTTTTTGTGTATAACATCTTTCGGATTATTTTTACGATTTTTTCTTAGCGTACCCACTAAGTGAGTTTTTTTCTCGAGTAACTTGTGTCCTAGCTCCATACTGGTGTAGTAGTTATCTACATAAATGCATCGTCCGCAGTTCAAAAGTGGTTCGCAAATGTTCATAACGATGTTCGTTGGTACGCTTGACCCTTGCACTTTTTCCTCGCCACAATAGATTTTCAAATCATAGGTATAGCCTCCATCAAGACATAATTTATACAATTTCACTCCGAACTTGTGCCGTTTATTCTTGATATACTGAATAAAAGCCAGCCTTCCACGGAAAGGGACAAGCGTTTCATCCACGCATATCTGGTCTTTGGGAATGAAGTACTTTTGAAAGTTCGTTCTAAGCTGCTCCAGGAGGTGTCCAAGTTTGTACAATCTATCAGAAGTGTCGGCTGTTTGATTATCTTGAAAATGCCAATTCGCCAACAACAACTCAAATCTGTTGCGCGACATCACGCCTGCAATTTGGTTCACATATATCTTCTTTTTTGACCAATAGTCTGCCAGTTTAGGAGCACGAAACAAGCCCATCCAAATTTGAAGACCAATGAAAGTCATAATTTCGTCAGAATTGGTATCTTTCCACTTATTTATTCGAGACCACTTTAGTAGTGTCGATTCTTTTTCTGTGCAGCGAAACGATTTGTTTCCCTCACAATATTATTTACGACATTTTCGTCAACCATTAACTTGAAGAAAAAAATAGGAGACTTGTCAACGTGTTCAAATAAAGCATTTACAACACCACTTTCGGGAATGTCAATCGGAAAGTCCTTGAGATATTGCCCAGAAACTTCTTGCCACATCAGTGATGGAACCAGTTCCTCATTTTCATCTGAGCTGTCCAGTTGAAATTGATGAATAACCGCTTCTATGGTGTCCAGAATTGAATCATTTTGATTTACTTTCTGAGAAGACGATGAATCATCAGTTCTGGTAAGAAGCTGTCTACTAGTACCTTCTCTGCCAACATCAGAAGATGCTATTGGATGATCCACTGTTTTTTTTCTTTTTTACTAATGGCTCGTTACTGCCTTTCGAGCTATATGAAGACGATGAATGCCAACTATCAGGTTCATATTCATCTGAGGAAGCCTCAAAAGGATCGGCCTCTTCATCGGAAAACATCTCGTCCATTAGTTTTTGCAGACGTTGCTGCTCTTTCTCATAGCTACCCATTTATCTTAACCCGTAAGTACTACTAACCAATATTTATTCCATTACTGCTACTATGGGGTCCCACGGACCCATTTCAATTGTTGTTCATAAAAACTCCGTAAGCGAGAAATAAACAATTTATTCTTTTGCCAAAGTTAAAATGTTTAATATATAAGTTATTTACAGAAATAAAGCACATCAAATACAGTTGTTACATATTATTTTGGAACAGTAAAGGCAAACAGGTATTTTGCAAGTTGAACATATATTACTCGTCTTTCTATCCTTGTTTCGTGGACATAAGCGGCATCTCGGTCTTTTTGACCTGCTTGGTATTTCATTAGGTTCAGTAGGTTCTTCAAATGCCAACCTCAATATGTCAGCAGCATTCATTCGGATTTTGCGCGGTACATTTGTATTATAAATTCTAGCCGTTAGGTGAGGTGTGTATAGCTGCCTTCCCAGTTCTTTCAGGTATTCATATCGAGATACTTCTTTACCTGCTTGCGCAAATTGGTACACGACTCGACTGTTAACTCCTGCAATATTCAGAATTGCATGAAACAGGACCATGGGCCAACGTCGAGTTCTTCGTGACGTCGAGTACGTAGCACATTTTTCATCGAGAGCATCTACGCCGGCTTTTGTTTCATTATAATACAGAATTATTTCTGGTTTCTTACGGTCTCCATCAGTGCAAGCAGTGTGATGCATTGTTGACAATAATATGACAGATTTACCACGTTTAGGTACATAGGAAACAATTGTGTTTTGAGCGCTAAATCCAAAAAGCGAAGAATCCACTGATCGAGAACGATTTGGAAGAAATTCGGGTGGAATCGCTCGCTTATTTTTTTTCATAGTTCCAACATATGTGAAACCTTTACTTTTCAGAGCATCGGCTAGTTCAATTGATGTGTACCAGTTATCACCAGTTACATTGCGGTTAGTGTTTATAATCGGCTCCACCAAACGTAAAACCACATGAGTCGGGTGGGTAAACTTTGTTCTATCTTCACCTGGGTTTTTTCCTGTATAAACTTCAGCGTTCACAGCAAAATGTGTTCTAGAATCGGCTAATATCTGAATTTTTATGCCATATTTGGCTGGTTTATTGGGCATGTACATTTGGAATTTGCAACGGCCTCTAAAAGGCACCAACATTTCGTCCACAGTTACATTTATCCCTGGAGAATATACTCGCTTACAGTTATCAAAAAATATCTCAAAAATATTGGAGAATGCAGCAAGTGGGTTGTTTTTCATTCTTTCAGACCTTGTGGCCGGATCATCAAATCTAAGGGCACAAAGTAGGAATGAAAAACGTGCAAGTGACATTGTGCATCTGAAAATTTCGCGTCCTGTGCCGTCTGTTGCCCATAACGATCTCAAGTCTTCATGATTTGATTTGAATAAACCTTGCATGTATAACAATCCTATGAAGGCTCTCATTTCGGTAAGGTCCGTGTTATGGATAAAAGTAGGTGAATATACCTTTCTTGCATTTTTTCTCGTCTTGAACTTTTTGTATTTACGTCTCATGCTATCAATTTTATTATTTGAATGTTGCACAATCATTTCCAAAATATCATTTGTGAAAAGAAGTTCCCATGTCTCTAACGGTGTTTGCGGTGGGCTGTTTCGAATTTGACCTTTTAGCCCAGGTAGCACAGCTACGATATTATGGGACAAAGTTCTTGTACGTCCTGGTGCTTCCATGGACCACTTGGTTTTATCCTTCCCGTAATAATACATGCTGGATTTTGTTACCTTTGATGATTCAACTTCTTCCTCATCGTCACTTGGGTTCCATTCTAGCTCGCTGTCAGAATCATGTTGACTGAGTATCTCTACATCTTTTTCATCAGAGTCACTTTGGTCGCCTGTATCTACTATTTGTTGAAGTGTATCTAATTCATCGCTTGCGCTGGCATCTCGATTTCATCATTTTCGCCTATATCGCTGTCATCCCAAAAATTATCACTCTCTATTATCTTCCTCAACTCATCATCTGATAGTTTCGATTTCCATGATTTAGCCATATTGCTTATATCTGAAAATCATAAGAACACTGTCATAGGTTGAAGGTATGCAAAAATATTACATGGAACTCTGCAATCACATCGTAATAAAGATTTATTGATGTGTATATTTATGTATAATATAATAATACTATACCCAGTATTCCATAATTAGTCCCTAAATATGATCATAGTAATAATGAAATAGAATACTGCATTACCTATTTTTATCACACTTTGACTATGGGGTCCGACGGACCCATGCTACGTCACTGTGGCCCACGTTCAAATCAGGCAGATACACTGTCGCGTTGGAGGGTGCATGACACTGGAATACATAGCCAGAGCGTCGTTACCCCCACTCTTTTATTTTTTGCGGAATCAGCCGCTAGTAATATACGAGGGGTCCCGGAGACCCCGATAGTAGTACTTACGGGTTAAGATAAAACATAAAATTAATTGTTGTAAAGAAATGTTAACAAAAAATCTTACCTTGGTTAATAAAAACCGCAAATTCTCTTAGTAATTAGTAATTAGTAAAGTTAGTAATAAAGCGTTTTTTGACTGCTTTGACTGAGTCAGTCGTATCATACATTGTTAGGGAATAATTATAATAATAATAATTATAATAATAATAATAGTAATAATAATAATAATAATAATAATTATAATAATAATATCATATCATTTATTCACCACTTTATATACATATATTGTACATGTGAGGTCCTAAACACTAGTTTACATTAATTAGGTATTCCATATACTCAGTGACACTATAAAAACAATGTTCCGGTAACAGTTTCTTTACAAAACGCGAGAAATATGAGGTTAACATGCCGTTTACGTTAAATTTTCTGTAGGCTTTAACAAGCTGGTTATACATATTTACATCGGGTCTGTTGGTTTGAGTCATCATCAAACGTGAATACTGGTTCCTAAAAGTATTCGCTGATCTCAAGCGGGAGGTAGTGCTAGGGGTTGTGTATTTGTTGAAATTAGTGTGAATGTATCGCAATGATTCGTAGATATAGATTGACGTTAAAGTCAGTATCCCACAATTCTTAAATAGGTCTCTACAAGTAGCTCGAAATTTGGAATTTGTTAATATCCTCACTGCCGACTTCTGTAATTTGAAAACTTTGTTTGAAGTAACCGAGTTACCCCAAAGCACAGTACCATATGACAGGTGACTGTGAAAGATGCTAAAATACACAACCCTCAGTGTATGACCACTAAGACATCGGCTGAGTTGTCTGAGTATGTACATCTGAGTGGAGAGCTTGGAACAGAGGTAGTCAATATGAGAGGACCAATTAAGTCTGGTGTCTAAAACTATCCCCAACAGCTATTTTGAGGCAGATCGTCGATGTAAATAAGAAACAGTAATGGGCCAAGCACTGAGCCCTGAGGTACACCATTTCTTATCTCCAACACTCCAGAGGTAGACTAAGAATCAACCTAGTTTGGTACACCTACGTCACAGCCTACGTCAGCGCTGCAGCGAGACGTATGTCGCACATCAAGCAAGAGAGAGAACGGGGTTTATTCGGGGTATTCCAGTGGTGTAGTTGATTTTATAAATACATGCTGGTGAGATTTAATTGTTATATTTTTATAACATTCAGGCAGATTCCAATAATTTCTTAAATTTTGCGTGGCATTTGTTATTAGTATTATTTATATGAATTTGTAGTTGGTAAATATGCAGTAGGTATGTGGATTTTTCTTATTACGTTAGTTTTTATTAGGTAGGTAACAATTATGAAAATCTGTAGGTCTATAAGCATTACAAAATTGCCAGCGGTGTAATGAAAAGATGTGTTTTTATTTTTTTCTTACCCCAACAAACATACGGGACCGTAGAGTAAAAGAAATCACATAAAATGAATAGAAATTTTATAAAAACACCGTATTACAATATTTTTCGAGAATTTTTCAATAAAATTTAGGAGAAAAAAACAAATCTTCAGATGAATTCAAGTATAAAATCGTTATAATAAAAAAAATCTGTTTACTGTTGTACGTTATAATTACATACCTTGTTGCACACCAGATTTAAATTGTTTTTTTGTTAATTACATATTTACATCACATCGTCATTTTGTTCAGAGCTGTCCGATTCAAGGATTGAACACCCTAGTTCATCCTCTGATGCCGCCTCATCGTCATCAAAACCCTCTTCACTCTCCTCAGATGAGCCTGTATTAACAGTGAACACTAATTTTCCACTGATTCATCTAAAAGGTGTTCTTTTTCTACGTGTTCATTCTCATACTTTCTTACATGTTGGCAAATATTGAACCACTCTTGTTCTGTCACCTCCTCAAATTTTTGTCTGGCCAGCGCCTC